AAGTGTTGAACTTGGACTTATCCGGTCCGGACTACACGAGGCTATGCGTCTCCTAGCGCTTAGCTGTAGTCGCTTATGTAGTATGTTACCATATTTGGGACTCTCTGCTCGTGTACTATAGCTATGCTTCCGGACTCTTCTGGTACTGTCTAGGACAATCCGTACTACTCCAGAACGGTCTAGACAGGTCTATGCCTTACTCATCTCTTACTCATCCTATGGTGCGATACGTCGCAATTCTTTCACCATCGTATTATTCATCGCACTATGGTACATGTGACTAACCACTCTTCGATTAGTCATGGACACTTCACTGTAGTATATAAGGACTTCAGATTGCGTCCTCCCTCTTCAGTCTTTCCTTACTGACTGAAGAGTGAGTACTTCGTTACATCTATGTCTAACTTGTAGTTACTTACTTAACCTTTGTAGTCTTGCTTCGACTCTAGGTACAGTTGGTTACTGCAATACAGTCTTTCCTTACTGACTGAAGATCTTGCTTCGACTCTAGTCGGATCTAATCTTTGTCTTCACAGCCCCGAGTTTATCAGTAAGGGTTACTTACAGCCTGTTTGTTGTCTCCGATCGCGGCGTTGCGTTGCATGGCAACACCTTCAAATACTATACACGTAACATAACTCCATGCCATGAGAGGGTTCATCCACGCTGCGGAGGTTTCATCCGCGAGAGTTACCGTAAAACACTAGGACGCGGGTAACATACTAATAACTGAATGATGAGAGGAAGACAGGCGACCATGGCTCGGCGCAGACTTGCGCCATTGTTCTTCTTCGCGATTGACCAAGACGTAGACTCTTGGCCTCGACGTACATACCGTCACAATGCGACGAGACTGGACGCAAGTCTGGAACCGATGCAGGCGTAGGAATAGCTGATCAGTGGGTTCGATACGCTCGCCAGTCGTCATGATTAGACATAGAGGTCCATTACGTTGCTCCGTCATGTTGGAATCTGGAGAATTCACACTCTAGTATCGGTTGGATAGTGTAGTGGTAACACCTCCCAGCGCATATGGGATGACCCGGGTTCAATCCCCGGTCTGACCAACTTTTCATTGTTCAACACGTCACGCTCTCTGACCTTGCTATCTGTCTTAGTGTGCCCTAGACGCGATATACAATGTTCAACCACAAGCAAGACTTTGATGATCTCACTACCTGACGTGGTCATACATCGTCAATGTCGTAACCTACACATTCATATGAGACCCCGCAACAGGCGGAGGAACAGCTATTTGTTCCAGAGGGGAAGCTGCAGGTGCCTCCAGGATCGACGATAACCCCCCTGCCGGCACCTCCGCCGTCCCGAACTCCACATATGGCAGTTCAGCTTCGGTTGTGGACGTGGACGCCACCGACTTCCTCTTCCGGGAAGGGTCGGAGAAGGGCATGCTAATGAGGACGGCTACGCGGACCTTCTCTTCTGGAGGCTCTGGGGTCAGCGGCGGCTTTTCTGTTGACATGACGGACGTGCGTGAATGTGATGTTTGAGGCGCTGCGGAAATCGGGCCCAGGGGCACGGAGGCGGAAGAAGATGTGGTTCGACGACGGCCTGTGCCGGGTATACGCAGCTGAGGGATGAAGAACGGAAGGCGTATTCGTCGCTGAATGGTTGCCGGTGTCGGTGCAGCGGTAGGCGCTGGCGTCGATGCAGGGCTTTGGGTAGAACCGGGAGGATTCAACCACCTGCACGCTATGGGCTACTCGCAGATGTGGCGTTAGTTGAACCGAGGTACCGCAGGAATACAAATATATCGTGAACGCACCATGATACGATCCCAGTCCACCATAAGCCCACGTCCGACCTGTTCCCGCTGCTTTTCCTTCTCCTTTTCGGCCGAAAACGCCTCCGTCTCCTCCCCTTCGTCGCCTAAATATACTTCATACATCTTTGGTTTCTCCCCCACTCCTGGCTTCTTCGGGGGCACATATGTCCCGTTCGCGATCGCCTCCGCAACGGCGGCCTGATGTCGCCTCCGGAGCGCGTATGACCGTGCGACGATTGTGATTGATACGAGGAGCAGGAGCACGATTGTGGCTGTGATGAGGACAATCTCAGCAATTCGCGGTAACGAGGACATGCTAGATTTCGATGCATGCGTGGACGAGGGCGCTGACGTGGGCGTAGACTCGGGCATAAAATTAGGGGAGATGAAGAGTTGAAACACGGAAGATCATTACTTGATTTTCGTGAAGCGTCGACGTGAGGAGGAGTCGTGAACACAGAGTCAAAGCAGGGGCCAGGGGAGCGGGGGGAAGGAAGAGGGCTGAAGTCGCAGCGTCGCATCGGGGATCGAAAAGAAGAAACCCAAACAACGGGGATTATAGCAAGTATCTACACTGGCATCCCACGTTTTCGTCGCAGCTAGAGATGCGCAGTGCGTACGGCAGTTCCAAGCACGAGTTGCACTCGAACCTCTGCTCGCAGTCTGGTACAAGGCTCAAAGAAGCCCCCAGAAATAACAGGAGACGTCTGATTTGCCTCGGAAGTCCTAACCTGCTCGTAATGCGCGCAGCTTGCCGGCCTGCGCACAAGTCAACGCCCAAAAGCCCATTCCGGAGTGTGAGAGAACATAAGTCATGAAATTCGATACTCACCGAGAAAGGTGTACACTGCGGGCAGAAGACGTGCCGTCGCTCAGCAACAGTTCCATCCACAATCATTCAAGCGCAGACAACAGTCATGCTCAAAGTATCGATGAGACGTACAGTATAGAGAGGCGGATGACGTCAGCTGAGGATTCGACCCAAAGTTGTTCTGGTTGCCATCATTGCCGCCATTTCCGCCCGCGCCGGAGCTGGATCCGGTGGGCGCTGGTGGCGGGCTTGGGGTGAAGTTGGGCGAGAACGAAGGTAAGGACGGCGACAGCGAGCCCGACACCGAGGAGGACGTCGACGACATGGTGGAAATAGGACAAGCTCGAGAAGCCGGGACCAGAAACCAGGAGAAAAGGTACAAGCAGCGGTCGAGGGACTGGGAAGGGGCCCCGGAATGGCGGCACGTCCAACGTTAAAATGCGAAATGCGACGCCTGAGACTCGTTAGGCTTACTTCAGCACCTGCAAGTTTAGCTTCCAACCAGTGGTCGTTGCTGCGATGGCCCTGTGCTCACGCTGATGGCGAGCTGGTAGGACGCATCCCCCGGATATAGCGCCGCAGCAGTGAAAGCTAGCAGCGAGGGAGGATTGTGGCGCCCTTAATCGGAAGGTGGGAGAAATGGGACTAGTCCGGAATCCTGCCAAGGGGTAGAAGAGCGAAGCGAGGGAAAGCCGTTGCGTTTGGGAGTCCGAGGGAGCGACAGGGACACACGGAAGGCGTTGGGGAGTCTGCGCAGTGGCAGACGTGAGACATAGAATGCTATTATGGTGGCGACGAGCTCGAGAGTGCCGTGCGCTTGGAGATTATCGGTATGTCAGCAGACCGGGGAAGCCTCGCTTCGGACAGGTGGGGTTACATACTCCGAAGCTCGCGTGCTACAAACTGTGAACATGGCGACCGCCACCGGGGATGGCTGGCAGTGACCTTCGTTGGTGAGACGCTTTGGACAGGCTACTGAAAGCGGTGGGAATTGCGTGGCCGATTCATCCGAAGACGCCTTTGATATCGGCATAATCGGGCGCACTAATGTTGGGCTCGATGTAAGCGCTTCTCGTTGGGCTAAGTACACAATTGCTAGTCAGCCAAGCAGAAAATGACATCAACAGCGACTTCACGCCATGAGAGGAGCGGCTATGGTGCAGTTCACTTAAACGCCTCCACTTTTGTACGCTGTTAGGCGCCGTGTCATAAGTCCTCCAGATATTCATGATTTCGGTCAATTGTGTGTGAATTTGCAAGGAATTGAACAGAGGAAGCGATCCCCAAAGGGGATTCTCGATAGGGTGAGAACTGGCAAAAATGGCCGTACCAGTTCTGCCACGGCACGTGATCTGGGCGTCTATATCCCCAAAGAGTAATTTTATGCTTATATAACACCATACCATTGCCTGTACAGATCGGCATCCTTGAACTTGGTGTTGGAGTTTGGACGGCGAGGCAAGCGTGGTGCGAGCCTCGGCCGTGTTCCGGGCGGACAGTCTAGTCGCGCCGTTGACGCGTCTTGTCGCGCCTTGTTGCGCTCGCATAAGTTTCACCTTTGTTTTGTTCGTGAATACGACGACTCATTTGTCTTGTACCGGGAACGTCTTGTCCCAGTAATGTACTTATTCCCTTCGATTTACGTTGGCTCACCTCAGTCCCGCGTACGACGCGTGCTGAGGTGAGTATACGTTTGTTACTTACTTCATCTACTTATACTGATTAACATCCCGTAGTGATTGTTCTACAGGTACTATTAATACATATCAGTCCCGCGTACGACGCGTGCTGAGTGATTGTT